TCTGCCTCTTGTTTCTTTTATTCTTTGGTTTTTCAAGACAGGGTTTCTCTGTGTAGTCATTGCTGATCTGGAACTTACTTTGTAGACAAGGCTAGCCTCAAAGTCAGGGATCTGCCTGCCTTTGCCTCCCCAGTGCTGGGATTAAAAGTGTGCACCACCACTCCCAGCTGCTTTTATGTTTCTTAATTTAATCATTTCCCCTGTATATTAGTTGTCTCTGCTGTGTCCACAAAACTTAGATATGTTTTTGATCTTCATGAAAAAAAAATTAGCCTAGTGTCTACCAAACCCACATTAGCCTTTAATATTTCTTTGCTAATTAGCTATAAGCTACTACTAAATGTCATTGTCTTGGGGCTGAGGAGATAACTCCACTGGTAAAATGCTTGTCACAAAAGCATAAGGACCTGAGTTCAATCCCTAACACACACAAAAAGATGAGCAAGGTGGTGTGCACTTGTAATACTAGTAGTGCTGGAGAGGTGAGGACAAGGAGGATTACTGGGGCTCCATGTCCAGTGAACCTAGCTCAATTGACAAGTCCCAGTTCCCAGTAAGAAACATTATCTCAAATAAAACAAGATAGGGTTCAGCTAAATGGCTCAGTGTTTTGGTAAAGGTGCTTGCTGATGAGCCAGAAAAAGAGTTTGATCTCCAAGACCTACCCACATGGTAGGAGAGAGCCAATGTATGCAGGTTGTACTCTGAGCTCTGTATATGTACATGAACATGTAGCACGCACACACAATATAATAAAATTTTATAAAGATGGGCAGCTCCTGAGGTCTGATGTCACAGGTTGACCTCTGGCCTCCATACACATGTGCACCTAGACAGGTGCAGCACACATACCACACACTCATAAAACAGTATCTATCACACTCTCAGCCCCTTCACACATCTATCTTTGTATGTGCCAATGCTTGCTTGTCCCTTAGAGCAGTGTATTAACCTCAGGAACCCCAGCATAATGCCTTTATTAGAACTCAGCATGGTTTCAAATGATGTCATATTAGCCACACCAGCACAATCTTTTGACCCTCATGAGTCCTCATAGAGACATATGCTGGTGCTTGAACAGCACCATCACTATTTAATCCTCACCAGTCATCAAAAGAGTGGCTTTGGTCTCTATGGTAATGAATAGATTCTGATTGTCTTTTATTGGAATTATGGTATTCCTGACTTATGGGCTGGTTTGTTTGTTTTTGTTTTGGGAACTTGTTTTGTATTCTTTCTGTTCTTTTTAAATTTTATTTAATTTTATTTTATGTGCATTAGTATGAAGGTGTCAGATCCCCTGGAACTGGAGTTACAAACAGTTGTGAGCTGCCATATGGGTGCTGGGAATTGAAACTGGGTCCTTTGGAAGAGCAGCCAATGCTCTTACCTGCTGAGCCATCTCTCCAGCCCCTACTTATTTTCTTTTGTTTATATTTTCTTTCATTATTCCAGTTAATCCTCTTTTCTTACCTCCATTTCTAATTATTTCTCTTCTCTTTCTCTCTCTACCCTTCCTTTGCTTTTCCTCTCCTTTTCTGTGTTTTTCTTTCCTAAACCTTCACTCTATACCCTTATCTTTCTTTTCCACTCTATCTCTTCCCCTCCACTGCTAGACTTTCCTTCCCCCTTCCCAGTGTGTCCCTTTTCTGTTTTTCTCTTTTCTATCTTGCCTTAACCAATTTACTTCCATTTCCATTACTTTCAGTTGCCTACACTTTTTTCAAGTTCACTTAATTCATCTTATATTAATGTTCTTTCCCTTCCCTTCTTTTCCCTGATTCTTTTCTCCATCCTTTCCCACTCTTCACTTCCCTTCTTTATCACTCCTTCTTTGCCTTCATTAACTTCCTTTACTTCTGTAGCCTTTTCTTCTTTCTTATTTCCTTTTATTCTGTCTTTCCCTTCTATTCATTTGAGTTTGTCTTTTTATCTGTTCTGGACAGTTTTTTTTTTTTTTAAATAAGCTAGAGTCATTTTTTGGAAGAGGAAACCTCAATTGAGAAAATGTCCCCACCAGATTGGCCTGTGGGACATTTTCTTGATTATTCTTGGTTAGTGATTGATGTTGGAGGGTCCAGCCCATTGTGGGGGGTACCACTCCTGGGCAGATGGTCCTGGATTGTATAAGGAAGCAGGCAGAGCAAGCCATGAGGACAAAGCCAGAAAGCAGTGTTCCTCCATAGCTTCTGTATTGGTTCCTGCTTTCAGGTTCTTGAGTTTCTTCCTTGACTTTCTTGGATAATGAACTCTGATGTGGAAGTATAAGCTGAAATAAACCCTTTCTTCTCCAAGTTGCTTTTGGTCATGGTGTGTTATCAAAAGCAATAGAAACCCTAACTAAGTCATCACCTGTGTACTGGCTGTTTTATGTCAACTTGACACAAGCTAGAGTCATCTGAGAGGAGGGAACCTCAATTGAGAAAATGCTTCCATGAATGAAGAAGGGCCTAGTCCACTGTGGGTGGTGCCATCGCTGGGCTGGTGCTCCTGGGTTCTATAAGAAAGCAGGCTGAGCAAGCCATGGGGAGCAAACCAGTAAGCAGCACCTATCTATGGCCTTTGTATCAGCAACTGTCTCCAGGCAGGTCCCATCCCTGCTTGAGTTCCTGTCCTGATTTCCCTTGGTGATGAACAGTGATGTAGAAGTGTAAGTTTAATAAACCCTTTCCTTTCCAACTTGCTTTTTGGTGTTTTGTTGCAGCAATAGAAACCCTAACTAAGACATCCCTTTTCCAGTCCACTCCTTTCCTTACATTCTTTTCTTTCTCTTTCTTTTTCTTCCTGTCCCCTTTGCTGCTTTTCTTTCCTGATCATTTCTTTCCTTTACTCTTTTCCCTGAGTTTTCCTTTCCTTATCTTTCCCTTCTAGTTCCTTTCCCTTCCTTCTTTCCTCCTTTTGCTGTTCATTCTTCCCTGTCTTCTCCTTTCCCCCTATTCCGTTCCTTTATCTTACTTTGTCTTGCCCATGCCATTTTTGCTTCTTCCCATCCCTCCCTCTTTTTCCTCTGTTCCCTCCCTTGCATTTCCCTTCCTTTCTATCCCCTCTCTTCATTTTCCTTCTCCTCCCTCATTTTTCCTCCCCTCCCTTTCTTAGTGTCATCCTTTTCCAGGTTTTCTTTCACTTTATTTCCCATGGAGTCACCTACAAGAAAGAAAGAAAGAAAGAAAGAAAGAAAGAAAGAAAGAAAGAAAGAAGAAAGAGAAAAGGAAAAAAAAACTTCCTCACTATCCCTTCATTACCCTTCTCAATCTCCTCCTTTTACTTACTTTTTCTCCTTTGTCACTTTTTCTTTCCCTTAATTTTCTTCCTGTTTTCTGGCATTCATTTTAGTGAGTTATCTTCAATCACTCCCTTCCAATTGCATTTCATTTATTTCTTTTATTCACCTGCTCTCTCCCTTCTTTTGCTTGTCTTCCCTTCCCTTCTAATATTTTCCTTTCCTTTGTTTTCCTGTGTTGTCTAGTCCTTTTATGTCCCCACCTCCATATTTTCAATATCTTTTGCTTAATTTCTATCTATTCAACTTTAAATTTATATTCTTTTCTTCCTTTTAAATTCCTCCTCTTTTCTTTCCTTCACTTAATTTCTGTTACTTCCTTTTTATCCTTGCTTATCTTTATCTTTCCTTTTCTTTGTCTCTCCTGTTTTCTCCCCTCTTCCCCTTTCCAGAGCTTTCCTTTCCTGGGCTTTCTTCCACTTTACTTTCTTCCCTTCCTCTTTTTTTTTTTTTTTAGTATTTTATTTTTTCTTTATTAATTACATTTTATTCACTTTGTATCCCCCCTGTGGTTCTCTCCCTCCTCCCATCCCAATCCCTCCCTTCCTCCACCCTCTGCATACATGCCCATCCCCAAGTCCACTGATAGGGGAGGACTTCTTTTCCTTCCTTCCGATCCTAGTCAATTAGGTCTCATCAGGATTGGCTGTGTTGTCTTCTTCTGTGGCCTGGTAATGCTGCTTCCCCCTCAGGGGGAGGTAATTAAAGAGCAGGCCAATCAGTTCATGTCAGAGACAGTCCCTGTTCCTATTACAATGGAACCCACTTGGATACTGAACTGCCATGGGCTACATCTGTGCAGGGGTCTTAGGTTATCTCCATGCATAATCCTTGGTTGGAATAGCAGTCTCAGGAAAGACCCCTGTGCTCAGATTTTTTGGTTCTGTTGCTCTCCTTGTGGAGTTCCTGTCCTCTCCAGATCTTACTCTTTCCCACTTCTTTCCTAAGATTCCCTGCACTCTGCCCAAAGGTTGCCCATAAGTCTCAGCATCTACATTGATAGTCTGCAGGGCATTTGCTCAACCATGTTTGTAGCAGCCTTATTTGTAATAGCCAGAAGTTGGAAACAGCCCAGATGCCCCCCAGTGGAGGAATGGATGCACAAATTGTGGTATATCTACACAATGGAATATTACTCAGCAATAAAAAAACAAGGAAATCATGAAATTTGCACGTAAATGGTGGGATCTGGAAAAGATCATCCTGAGTGAGCTATCCCAGAAGCAGAAAGATGCACACGGTATATACTCACTCACATAGACATATAACATAGGATAAACCTACTAAAATCTGTACACCTAAAGAAACTAATCAAGAGGGAGGACTTTTGCTAAAATGCTCAATTCCTATCCAGAAAGGCAAAGAGGCTGGACATCAGAAGAAGGAGAAAAGAGGGAACAAGTCAGGAGCCTGACACAGAAGATCTCTGAAAAGCTCTTTTTATTTCTCTCTCTCTCTCTCTCTCTCTCTCTCTCCCACCCTGCTTTTCCACCCTATTACTTTGTTTGCATTGTTTCCCAGTACAATTACTCTCTCTTCTGTGCCCTCTTTTTCCTTTCCCATATCTTCTCTTCCCTTGACTCTTTCTCTTTTATTTTTCCTCCTTCCCTGCCTTTCCACTTTCCTTTTTTCTACTTTCTTTTTTTTTGGGGGGGGGATATGAAAAATAGATTTATTGACAGGGAGTTCCAGGCTTGTCCTAAGTCAAAATGTGCAGGCCTCAGGCCTTCACCAGGCTCTTCTTGATGAAGTGGCCCACCAGCCGCTGAGGCCTCTGCTGATATTCAACCAGCACATCATGGGGAGTGTTGATCTGGTCCCCTTGCAGTCTGTCCAGGAGAGTGACACACACCACAGCCGCTGTAAGGCCACAGGCACTGCACATGGTGGCAAACAGTGAAGATTCCATCTCAATATTTCGGACGCCTGCGGCATGGGCTGCATGCAGATAGGCCTGTTTGTCCTTCTCTGTGTAGGAGCAGAGGGCACCATCCAGATGGCCTGGCCCCTCATAGAAGTCCAAGGTGCACATGGTGTTCTCCACAACAGTAGGGAATTCATTCAGGTCTAGCGCGCACTTCAGCAACTCCTACACCAGCTCTGTGTCCAGGTTGGTGCTGCGAATCACGCGCTTTCCCAGGACAATCTGCTCAAACTCTGGCTTGAAGCACTCATCCACTGCCTGCTGGGTGATGACTACAGAGCTGGGCTCCAGACCTATCCCGCCAGATGTGCCGATGCGGATGATGGTGATGTTGGAGCACCTGGCATGGTACAGCATCTTTATGAGCTCGTGAAGCATGATCCCAATGGAAGGAATGCCCATGCCATGGCTCACAGACAGCACGGGTCCAGCTTTGTACATGGCGTAGCGGTCAGTGCCCGCACAGATGTTGGGATACTCTTTCCCTGGATGGTCAAGGCCCAGCTCTGCAGCCACGTACCTGATGAAGGTACTCATCCGGGAAGGGCTGCCACCGACACACACAAACTTCACATCTCCAAACATAGCGGGGAAATCGTGTGTGCTAGTGCTGAGGTTGAAATGGTAGAGAACATCTTCCTTCATTGTTGCTATGTTTGGATTTGAAAGTTGAACGAAGCAGTCATTGTGATGGTTTTCGAGGTCCTTTGCTTCAGTTCCTGTAGCTGCCATGTTCTCACTATTGCAGGACTGTCAGAGACTGGATGTCCAGGTCCGGGGAAGGCTTCCAGAGTGTCAGGGACCACCAGTGAGTCACTTTGCCAAGCCAGGCAGGAAGAACCAGAGAGAAGCCCGCACAGCGGACCGACTCACAGCTTAGTCCTGGCCGGCGGCGCTGGAGGATGGTCCTTTTTTCTACTTTCTTTTCTTGTCTTTATCTTTCTTTTATTCTCTTCATTTTTCCTTTCATTCCTCCATGCTGCTTTACATGTCCTTCACTTCTGTTTTCTTTCCTTGCCTTCTCTACATTTCCTATACCTTCTGCTTTCCTTTCCTTCACTTGATTTTTCTTCTCACACCTTCCCAGTGGTTTCTTTTTATAGGTTTCCATTCATTCCCTTTCCCTTTTATCATTTCTTTCCTTCATTTGCTTATGATTTTCTTTCAGTTTACTTCCTATTTCTTCTATTAATATTTCTTCCCTTCTCTTTCCTGTGAAATTCTTTACTTTCACCCTTTTACTACTCTTTCACTTTGCTTCCTTTGCTTTACCCACTTCCTTTTTTCCTTTCCTTTGTATTATTTTTCCTTTAAATTCCCCTATTTTTCCATTCTCTTCTAGTCATTTGTTAGTTCTCTTCCTATACCTCCTTTTCTATTCCCCTGCTTTCTTTTTCATTTCTTTCCTTTATTCTCCTTTGCTTTTATTTTATTTTCTTCCATTTCTTTGCCTTTATTATCCCTTTCTTCTTTTAATTCCCCTTTGTTGCCTTTCTTTCCATTCCTTTTTGATCATTGCCTCCTCTGTTACTTTTCTGTCTTTTTTTTTTTTTTGTGCTTTGCTATTGCTTACATCCTGTCTTAGCGTTACACCATAACCAAAAGTAACTTGGGAAAGAGAGGGTTTATTTGGCTTACACTTCCACAACACTTTTCATCACTGAAGGAAGTCAAGACAGAAACTCATATAGGGCAGGAACCTGGAGGCAGGTCGTAGAAGAGTGCTGCTTACTGTCTTGCTCTCCATAGCTTGCTCAGCCTGCTTTCTTATAGAACCCAGGACCACCAGTCTAGGAATGGCACAACCAACAATGGACTGAGCCCTCCCCCAGATACACTTCTTTACATTAGTTCTCTATTTTCTCCTGTTTCCTTGCTTTGATGTTATAAAGCTCCCTGCTTCTTCTGCAGGCTCATGTTGGTAGAACAGTCCTGGCAATGAGAACAGTCACTGTTACTCTGTATCAACTCCATGCCCACTTCTCTTACTAGCCCACTATATTTTCTCTGCCTCTCAACCTTCACAGAAAAGATCTCAGTTTTAGTCTTTAACCAATTCATCTGCCTACAGCCATCCAACAATTATTTTTCAGGAATACAGGATGGTCAAGTTAAGACTCTCCCTCTGCTATATGACCAGAGGACACCATCTTCAATGGGACGAGAACTTGCCCTTGCAACAAAGACCCTCCTCAGCAGAAAACAGATATGACACCCCTGTTCTGCATTTTTATATCCTCTCAGAGTTAGCAATGATAGTTTCCAGCTGAAAGACTACACTTCCCAGCTTCCTTTAGAGGCTACAGAAGTCATTTCCTTCCCTATAAGGGGTCTACCTTTCATCTTTCCCTGTAGGCATTTTGACCATCCACACACATGGGTAACAAAATGTTTCCTCCTGAATAATCATGGTTCTGCCTAAGGTCAGACTATGCCTCTCTTTCTGCATGCTCTCTCTCCCCAGTGGCTTTTTAATAATCTAAAATACTAACATCATAAGGTTGGAACATGCTCATTTCTTTTCTACTACCTGAAAGATTTTATCAAGTATTGGTATTATATTTTTCTATAAAAGTCTCATAAAATTAACCAGCTAAGTAAGTCGTTTGGGATCTGAGCTTTTTTTGTTGTGAGGAAAGTTTTAATGTATTAATAAAATTTGGGTGTAGATTCATATTTCATATAATATTTTTGGCCATTAGTTCTTCAAATATTTTTAACTCCTTTTCTTTTCTCTTCTGTGTGAGAGTCCATTAAGTATATGTAAGCATGCATGATGATGTCTTCTGGTCTCTGAGATTATATTTTTCTCCATCCCTTCTCTTTCTTTTCATTAACTTGGACAATCTCAAGACTGGTGGTTCCTTTTCCTGCTCACTGAAATCTGATGTCAATCTCTTCTTGTGAAATTAGTGTTATAGACTGTTCTTTTCAACAACAGAATAACTATCAAAAGATTAACCCCTTTAAATCGTCTGTTTTGTAATTCATAGCCATCATATTTTAATTCTTTAAGAATGGTTTTCTTTAGTTCTTTGAAGAAATTTATAATTGCTTCTTTGTAATCTTTAATCAATTAAATACAGCACATGGCATCCACAGATAAAGTTTCCCCCAGAGGACCATTTCATCTATGCATCATTTGTTTTGCTTCTCATAATCCTTAAATACTTGACATTAGAAATGACAGATTTTATCAACTCTATGTTATGATCCTTCCTTTGTTGTTATTGCTGTTGCTTTGGGTTTCTGTGATACAGTTGCTTAAGGATTTGTAGGAGCTAATTTGGTAGGACTTAGTATCCCTTTGGTATGTACAGTTATTGTGTAGTAGGAAACCAAGGAATGATATAAACTGAGAGGTTAAGGAGCAATTTTATTAGACATGGCTGACACACACAGGCTCATCAGACTGTCTAAAAAACTGAGTGCTAAGCACATTCTGTGAGGTTAACTTGGCCCTGACCGTGGGTACTTGAACTGGTGAGCTTTAATCATTACCAAACCAGGATCTGATACAAAATGTTACTGAGAAACACAGGAGCTGATACAAATGTTTCTGAGAAACGCAGGATCTGATACAAAACGTTTCTGAGACACGCCCTTCTGTAGTATGGACTGAGAAGTGCAAACAGTCCTTAGACCCCCTCCTGTTTGCTTTGCACTCACTGCACCTGGATACAACCAATCACCGATTGCCCCATTAGGAAAGTCCCTAACCCCTAGACCCCCTCCTGTTTTGTGGTTTTTGCCTTTATAAACTCTGTGATTCTGTTGCTTGGGGCTCTCCACTGTCCCTTGCATGGGAGCTGTGTGCTGAGCCCCGGCGTGCCCGCCTGCGAATAAAAGCCAGTGTTTTGTACGCGTCTTCGTTGGTCATTGGGGTCTGGCGTCTATCCCGAGGGACAGAGGGACTTCCCACCTCGGAGGTCCAACATTTGGAGGCCCCAGCGAGATAAGGACGGACCCCTGACTCACGAATTCAACCTCAGAAGTGAGAAAAGGTGTCTAACGTTGGTCTCTGTTCGGTCTGTTTCGAAGCACTTTTGGTTTGCGACTGCTCGAGAGACTTGTCAAAGTCGCAAGCGGTGGTCGGCAGACGTCCCCGGAAGACCACAGGTCATAGTCCTGGAGGACCCTCCATGGGGTCAGGAGAGCCGAGGACGCTCGGACGCCTCCTATCTGGTGGACTCAGGTAGAGTCCAGTTCTGTAGAAAAGCGCAATTGTCTCATTCATTCGAAAGACCAAAGCCGTCTGCCGCACTTTCTCAGTTTTGTGGCAGTCGCGTCTTGGTCTCTGTGTCGTGAGTGTCTGTTTGTCTGTTCTGTGTTTGTTCTTCTATTATTTTATTGACTATCAACTGGCGATGGGACAGTCTGTTACCACTCCCCTTAGTCTGACTTTAGATCATTGGACTGAAGTTAGAACTCATAATCTTTCAGTTGAAGTGAGGAAAGGCAAATGACAAACTCTCTGTTCCTCTGAGTGGCCGACCTACAATATAGGATGGCCAGCAGATGGCACTTTTAACCTGGACGCCATTGGGGCCGTGAGAAATATTATCTTTCAGGAAGAAGGCAGACATCCAGACCAGGAATTCTACATCCTAACCTGGCAGGATTTGGTCTAGAACCCGCCTCCTTGGGTCTGGCCCTGGATACCGACCGGCTGTCCTCCTTCAAGACCGACTGTCTCCACATGGGTCCTGACAGCTGAGGCGGTGCCGGACCCTAAGATTTACCAAATCACCCAAACAAACCTTCTACTTCTTGATCCCCCGCCTCCTTACCCTCCTGCCATACCCCCTGCCCTTGCTCCTTCAGCTCCCCCGGCTCTGCTCAGGACAGGGAAGTGGGAGGGCCAGCAGCCGGAACCAGGAGTCGGCAGGCAGCCACCCCAGATACCACTGTGGCACTGCCTTTGCGGGCCGTCGGACCACCAACTCCTCCCTTGGGACCAGATAATGACCCGGAGTCATCAGCCCCTTCAGCCCCTTCAGTATTGGCCGTTCTCTTCAGCCAATCTCTATAACTGGAAGGCCAATCATCCTCCTTTCTCTGAGGACCCTTCTAAACTAACCTTGGTAGAATCTGTAGTCTTTTCCCACCAGCCAACTTGGGATGATTGCCAACAGCTGTTGCAGACTCTCTTCACCACTGAGGAAAGAGAGCATATCCTCCTGGAAGCCAGGAAAAATGTCCCAGGTGACGACGGTCACCCTTCCCAGCTCCAGATCGTCATAGAAGACGGCTTCCCATTAGCTCGTCCCAACTGGGATTTCAACACGGCTGACGGTAGGGAGCATCTTGGAGTCTATCGTCAGGCTCTGGTGGCTGGTCTCTGAGGGGTGGCTAGATGCCCTACCAATTTGGCTAAGGTAAGGGAAGTAATTCGGGGGCCGACCAAACTTCCCTTGGCGTTCTTCAAACGGCTTATGGAAGCCTATAGGAGATATGTGCCGTTTGACCAGATGGCTGAAGGACAGAGGGTCTCGGTACTCATGGGCTTCATAGACCAATCAGCCCCAGATATTAGGAAAAAGTTGCAAAGGTTAGATGGCCTGGCTAGGTATACTCTGTCTGACATAGTCAAGGAAGCAGAAAAAGTTTATAACAAAAGAGAAACAGAGGAAGAAAAAGAGCAGAGAAGAGCAAAGGAGCAGGAAGAGAGAGAGAACAGGCGAGACAAATGGCATGAAAAAAATATGAGTAGAATCCTGTCCGCTGTAGTCAATGATAAGAAAAGAGGCTAGGATAGAGATAGAGTTAGGAAGACAGGGAAACGGGGCAACAGGCCACCCTTGGAAAAAGATCAATGCACCTACTGCAAGGAGAAAGGACACTGGGCCAAAGATTGTCCCAAGAAGAAGGGACCATCCAAGAAGGTCCTGGCCCTTGAGGACGATGACTGGGGGTGGGGACGGGGCTTGGAGCCCCTCCCCAAGCCTAGGGTAACTCTTAAGGTGGAAGGGAAACCTATTGACTTTCTGGTAGACACTGGTGCCCAACACTCAGTCTTGTTGCAACCAGGGGCGACTTTGTCCAAAAAGAAGTCCTGGGTACTTGGGGCCACCAGAAATCAGCAATATTCATGGACTACCCAAAGAATGGTGGACCTCGGTGTGGGCCAGGTATCCCACTCCACTCCTTTTTAGTCATTCCAGGATGTCCTGCTCCTCTGTTAGGTAGAGACTTGCTCACCAAAATAGGAGCACAGATCTCCTTCACAGAGGAGGGGCCCCAGGTGACTGACCAGCAAGGGCAGGTCATCCAAGTACTCACCACGCAAATTGAGGACGAACATAGACTGTTTGAGAACCCTCCTCCCACCTCCTCGTGACCCTCAGAGTGGCTGCAAAGGGTCCCCGGGGCATGGGCTGAAACTGCAGGCATGGAGTTCGCTTCTAGCCAACCTCCAGTGATGATAGAACTCAAGGCTTCTGCCACCCCAGTTTCAGTTTGACAATACCCTATGAGTACAGAAGCAAAGAACGGGATCAGACCTCACATAGCCAGAATACTAGAACTAGGTGTTCTGAGAAAATGTCAGTCACCATGGAATACCCCCTTGTTGCCAGTCCGAAAGCCCGGCACGAATGACTATCGCCCTGTTCAGGACTTGAGGGAAGTCAATAGGCAGGTACAAGATCTTCATCCGACGGTGCCAAATCCATACAATCTCTTAAGTTCACTCCCTCCTGACAGAGATTGGTACACTGTCCTGGATTTAAAGGATGCCTTCTTCTGCTTACCACTGAGCAAATCTAGCCAACCCATCTTTGCCTTTGAATGGAAAGATCCGGACTCTGGAATGTCAGGACAACTCACCTGGACTCGGCTGCCCCAAGGATTCAAGAACTCCCCCACCATCTTTGATGGAGCTCTACACCAGGATTTGGCACCCTTTAGGGTTGCCAACCCTCAGGTAACTTTGCTCCAATATGTTGCTGACCTCCTGGCAGCAGGGAGCCAAGCAGACTGTGAAAAAGGGACTGCAGCCCTATTGAAGGAATTGACCTGGCTGGGCTACTGCGCATCGGCTGAGAAGGCTCAAATCTGCCAAAGCCAAGTAACTTACTTAGGATATACCCTTAAAGAGGGCACAGATGGTTGATGGAGGCACGAAAACAAGCAGTTACCCAGATCTCCCCTCCCAAGACGGCCAGACAAGTTTGGGAATTCTTGGGTACAGCCGGCTTCTGTAGACTATAGATCCCAGGGTTTGCCTCTCTGGCAGCGCCCCTCTACCCTCTGACCAAAAGCAATGCCCCTTTCATGGGGGGGGGGCAGCAACAAGCCTTCAACGAGATAAAAAGGGCCTTGACAGCCCCAGCACTCTCCCTGCCAGACGCCTTTAAACCCTTCTATCTGTTCGTGCATGAACAAAAAGGCATTGCAAAAGGGGTCTTAACCTAGAGATTGGGCCCCTGGAGGCGTCCTGTGGCCTACCTATCCAAGAAATTGGATCCGGTAGCAGCCGGATGGCCCCCCTGCCTTAAGATCATAGCAGCAGTAGCTCCTTTGCTCAAAGATGTGGACAAACTGACTTTGGGGCAAACTGTCACTATTCTGGCCTCACATGCCCTGGAGAGCATAATACGCCAACCTCCAGATCACTGGCTATCTAACGCTCAAATCACCCACTACCAAAGTTTGCTGCTCAACTCAGACCATGTCAAGTTCGCTCCAGCCACTCAGCTCAACCCTGCTACACTCTGGCCGGACCCCAACCCTGACTCAACTGTTATCCACGACTGTGGGGAGACCCTGGCAGAACTGACCGTGGTCCGAAAAGACCTTCAGGACCAACCTTTACCAGATGCCAAGGTAACCTGGTTCACAGATGGGAGCAGCTACCTTCTGGAAGGTAAGCGAATGGCGGGGGCAGCAATAGTGGATGGTGAATGAGTTATATGGGCCAGTAAGTTGCCTGAAGGAACTTTGGCTCAAAAGGCAGAACTCATTGCCTTAACTCAGGCTTTAAATATGCCGGAAGGAAAAAAGGCTAACATCTATACTGACAGCCCATATGCCTTTGCTACTGCTCATGTGCATGGGGCCATATACCAGCAACGAGGGCTATTGACCTCAGCAGGAAAGGAAATAAAAAATAAAGCGGAAATTCTTAACCTCTTAGATGCCCTCCACAGGCCCGCTCGTCTAGCTATTATTCACTGCCCTGGCCATCAAAAGGGAGACTCTCTCGCCGCCCGAGGAAATCGCATGGCAGATAAAGAAGCAAAAAGGGCTGCCCAAGGATTAGACATAATGGTGGCTCAGACAGAATCAGAACCTGATGCTACCCCACGAGCCATGACGCTCACTTATACTAAACAGGACTTAAAGGAGATGACCAAACTAAATAAGAATTTCAACCCAGTCTCCCAGGTATGTGTCAGGGACCACCTGAGGGAACTCGCCAACTTCAGAGACCACCTGTGGAAGCTTACCAACTTGCCTCAATTTGCCCGTTCCCTTACCTGCAGTAAACATACTGCTTGGAGATGCCCCTTCCCTTACCTGCAGTAAACATACTGCTTGGAGATGTCAGAGACCACCTGTAGAAACTCACCAACCTGCCTCAACTTGCCCGTTTCCTTACCTGCGGTAAACATACTGCTTGGCAACAGCAGAGATGTGCTCACAGAACCGTGGCTTATCACAAGATGTTTCAGGCCCCTGGCCGAGAAGAATCTGTAATGTTTCACCCACCCTACTTCCTCATCCTGAACCCTATTTAAAGCTGATTCTGCTCAGTAAAGTTAGTCCTTGACAAGCACCTGTTTGCTTGGACTGGTTTCTCTTTCTTGCCCATCTTTTCACAGGTTTGGATTCTCTTTTAACCCGCGAATAACCTTAGCTCCGCTGGCCGGAGCAGGTATGGGAGACAGAAGACAGGAAGGTAATCCTACCCAAGGAACAGGCTAAAAAGATTATAGACCAGACCCACCGGTTGACACACTTGGGAGCCAAGAAATTAATTGACATAATCAAAAAGACTAATTATTACATAGTAGGTCTACAAGATCTGGCTGAAGAGATAGTTAAGCAATGTATACCGTGCCAAAAAGTAAACGCACAAGCAAACAACCTAGAGCCAGGTAAAAGACTACGAGGAAAGTGGCCTAGAATGCATTGGGAAATTGACTTCACAGAACTTAGGCCTGCCAAGTTTGGAAACAAATACCTTTTAGTGTTTGTGGATACTTTCTCAGGTTGGGTGGAGGCCTTTCCCACCAAAAAAGAAACAGCAACTCTGGTGTCCAAGAAGATTCTGGAAGAGATTTTTCCCCGATTTGGGTTCCTTGGGTTATCCATCAGGTAATGGCCCGGCTTTTGTTCCCCAGGTAAGTGAGGAGGTGGCCAGGACATTGGGGATTGATTGGAAATTACATTGTGTATATAGACCCCAAAGCTTAGGCCAAGTAGAAAGAATGAATAAAACTCTAAAAGAGTCCATGGAGACTGGCTGTTCTGACTGGATGATGCTCCTGCCACTGGCCCTGTTCCGAGTTCAGAACTCCCCTTTCAGATTCAAGCCAACCCCTTTTGAGATTTTGTTTGGAATACCCCCTCCACTAAGCCAGATGGTCAGTCAGACAGACCCTGTTTCGATTGGTAATTATGATTTGTACAGCAGGTTGAGGGCCCTACAAGCTGTCCATGCAGAACTGTGGCCACTGGTTTGGGAAACTTATCACCCTGCCGAATCCCAAGCATCTCACCAATACCAGGTGGGAGACTCGGTCTACATGAGGCAACACCGAACCACCAACCTTGAGCCGCGCTGGAAGGGACCTTACATAGTACTCCTGACCACTCCCACTGCCATCAAGGGCAATGGAATCACTGCCTGGATTCATGCTTCTCACGTCAAGCCAACACCGCTACTGACACCCAGATGGAAAGCTGAAAAGACTGACAATCCCCTTAAGCTTCGCTTTCGCCGCTTGCCTGCTGTCAACCCTTCCCGGGACCAGGGGGACCTCTAGCCCTCATTAACCTCTGAACCTGACTTGGCAAGTGCTCACTCAAGCTGGTGAAATTGCTTGGTCCGCTTCTAAGGTAGTTCCCCTTTGGACCTGGTGGCCCTCCCTGACCCCCGATTTATTCGAACTGGCTGCTGGGCTCAGCTCCTGGAACATCCCTACCGTAGGGCCCGGAGAACATAAAGACTTAATAAATTTGCCCTGTTTCAGGATTTGGGGGGGGGGGGGCTCCATAAAGACTGGAGCCATGGCATTGATGGGTACGGTATTGGTTGTGCTCATCCGATACTACGATCCTTTCTATCAGCACAGACCTTTTAAGTCTGCCCCAGGGATGGGAGGGCTAGGGCCGAAGCCCAAAAATGCGGAGGAATAGGCAACTATTTCTGCACCGCATGTGGCTGTGAGACCTCTGGCACTACTTGGTGAAAACCTTCCTCCTCCTGGGACTACATTAAGATTGAAAGGGCAGGAAAAAAGTTACTCCTGCCAAGGAAAAGGCTCCGCCTGCAAAAATCCCACCGGTCACAGCCAATTTGCCTGTAATACCCTAAACATCATGTTTACATCTATGGGAAAGAAGGATAAAACTTGGGTGAGAGGAAAGATTCTATGAAGAAGCTATGAGAGAGATTAGACGCCAGAGAAAGAGAGAGACAACAAGGGGAGGGATGGTTTGAGTCATGGTTCAACAAGTCCGCATGGCTTACCACGCTCATCTCCACTCTAATGGGGCCTTTGCTCATCCTGCTACTGCTCCTTACCCTTGGGCCATGTGTCCTGAATCATTTGGTAGGTTTCATCCGAGAAAGAGTTGGTGCAGTCCAGATACTCATGTTGAGACAGCAGTACCGGCAGCTACACCAGACAGAAACTGAAATTCCATGATTAGAATTTACCCAGAGAAAAAAGGTCCCCCCTTTTTCTGAATGTGAGGTTAACTTGGCCCTGACCATGGGTACTTGAACTGGTGAGCTTTAATCATTACCAAACCAGGATCTGATACAAAACGTTACTGAGAAACACAGGAGCTGATACAAATGTTTCTGAGAAACGCAGGATCTGATACAAAACGTTTCTGAGACACGCCCTTCTGTAGTCATGGACTGAGAAGTGCAAACAGTCCTTAGACCCCCTCCTGTTTGCTTTGCACTCACTGCACCTGGATACAACCAATCACCGATTGCCTCATTAGGAAAGTCCCTAACCCCTAGACCCCCTCCTGTTTTGTGGTTTTTGCCTTTATAAACTCTGTGATTCTGTTGCTTGGGGCTCTCCACTGTCCCTTGCATGGGAGCTGTGTGCTGAACCCCGGCGTGCCCGCCGCCTGCGAATAAAAGCCTCTTGCTGTTTTGCATTGAGTACGCATGCATCTTCGTTGGTCATTGGGGTCTGGCGTCTATCCCGAGGGACGGAGGGACTTCCCACCTCGGGGGTCCAACAATTCAAATATCTCCTTTTATGTCCCGTTTGTACCCTGTCACATATATGATCAAACATTATTTATTTAAGTATATTGTATGTATTAAGAGAATAATTTATAATTTGATTGCTTCTTCTGAACATGTTACCATATTTTGTTGAACTTGCTCGTAAGATGAAAATTTCCCCAAGGAGCAGAATTTACCACAAGCCATTTAAAGTATAGAGAGGAGAGAAACGGATTTGATTACAGAGGAGGCATAGTGAGATAGCACAAGGGTGCTAACTAGTCTGTTGCAGATGTTTCCTGTTACCTTCTCAGGAATTCTTCCTTAACTGATGGCCACTTCTCTTTTTGAAAAAATTCCAGGCCTGGCAGTTTTGGCACATACCTTTAATCCCAGCAACCAGGAGGCAGAGGCATGTTGATCTCTGAGTTCAAGGCCAGCCTGATCTACAGAGTGAGTTCTAGGACAGCCAAGGCTACACAAAAAAATCCTGTATTGAAAAACCAAGAAAAATAATTCCAGGTGCCTTCTTTGATGTCATCGGTGAGTCAATACAGTTCAGTATCAGTCAATAATTGGCTCAAAGTTATGGCTATACTTCTCAAATCAGTATGTCCTCCACTAAAAAAGAATGTTTCAGCACTAGTATTCATTTTTGCTTGTACAGGCCTGTGCTGGCTAGTTTTGTGTCAATTTGAAACGGACTGGAGTTATTTGAAAGGAGGGAGCCTTAATTAAGAAAATGCCTCCATAAGATCTGGCTGTAGGCCATTTCTTACTCAGTTATTGATGAGAGAGTGCCTGGCCTGTAAGACCTGGGGTCTCACAGCTCAGGAGTTCAAGATCGCACCCTTCCCAGAAACTTCCCCAGACCACGACTCCTTGCAAAAACAAGAGGTTTATTAACCATTGTGCAATGGGGTCACCCCTGCCGGTCAGCAAAGAGTGGCACCGGGAGACAAAGGCCTTTAGGTTTTTAAAAGAAAAATTGCGGGAAATTTGAAGTTGCAGTTTTGGCAATTTAGGATTGGATGAGGAAGCTATAAAGTAAGATAATTGGTTAGTCTTAGGTGCTCAAGCTTGGCCAGTCCTGCCAAGTGTGGATGCAGCTGCAATTGAAGGGGGGGATGGTTAGCTCATCCTTGAAGATTAGGGGCTGTGGACTTTTGGCTGGAGGTCAAAAGCTACTCAGAAGAAGTCTGGGTTTGTTGCTAAGAAACACTATGTTGAAGGCAAGGGTCTGGTCATTCTTTTTGCTGAGTGAAGGTCATTGCCTGCTTGCTTTTTTTTCTATCTGTCCTCACAGATAGGGTCACATTCCTCCATTCTCTGGAAAGGTACTAAGAGGCTTTAGCTTAACCTGAACCTAAAACTCAAAACTATAGGCTTTAGAAGACATACAGGTTACAAAGTTAGTCTAACTCTTTCAGGCCCACTATGTGTGATGCCATCCCTAGACTGGTGGTCCTGGGTTCTATAAGAAAGCAGATTGAGAAAGCCATGAGGAGCAAACTAGTAAGCAGCACCTTTCCATGGCCTCTGCATTGGCTCCTGCCTGCAGATTTCTGCCCTATTTGGGTTCCTGCCCTGGCTTCCTTCAATGGTGGGCTACAATGTGGAAGTATAAGCCAAATAAACCCTTTCCTCTCCAAGTTGCTTTGGTCATGGTGTTTCATGACAGCAATAGAAACCTTAAGACAAGGCCTGAAACTTATCACTAGATGAGTTACTAAAAGGTCCTCTTTAATATTTTTGTGATCATAGACAAAGCCTTCTACATCTCCTAAGATACAGGCAAACTTATCAATGCTCATTATTGGTTTTGTTTTGTTTTTTTTTTCATATCTTTCTACTGATTTGTTTTGTTTTGTTTTTTTGAGACAGAGTTTCTCTGTGTCGTCCTGGCTGTACTGGAACTCACTCTAGAGAGCAGGCTGCTCTCTAACTAAGAAATCTGCCTGCTTCTGACTCCCAAAGTCTAGGATTAAAGGTGTGTGCCAGAACCACTTTGTCTCTACTGATTTTTTTTTTTTTTTTGTCTGATCTGTTTCTTAGCCGACTTTGAAGTCTCAGGAAGCTGTGATGTTATCCTTTTCAGAATACGTGGTACTCAAATCATATCAGATCCCTCTGTTTTCATGGAGTCTACATGACCTTCCCTGTGGCTTTTTTAAAAACTCAGATGTCTCTCAAAATGCCAATGTTTTGATACTGGGCTTGTGATGATATTTGGAAAAGGTGGAATCTTTAGAAGATAGAACTAGTAGAAAGAAGTTAGACCATTGTGGGCATGTCTTTGACGAAAATATTGGTTCCCCAGCTCTATTATTCTTTTGCTATATGGCTGCCATTGAAAGGGTTAGACTAACTTTGTAACCTGTATGTCTTCTAAAGCCTATAGTTTTGAGTTTTAGGTTCAGGTTAAGCTAAAGCCTCTTAGTACCTTTCCAGAGAATGAAAAAAAAAATGTGACCCTATCTATGAGGACAGATAGAAAAAAGGCAAGCAAGCAATGACCTTCACTCAGCAAAAAGAAAAACTCCTGTCTTTGAGATAGTGTTTCTTAGCAACAAACCCAGACTTCTTCTGAGTAGCTTTTGACCTCCAGCCAAAAGTCCACAGCCCCTAATCTTCAAGGATGAGCTAACCACCCCACCTTAAATTGCAGCTGCATCCACACTTGGCAGGACTGGCCAAGCTTGAGCACCTAAGACTAACCAATTATCTTACTTTATAGCTTCCTCATCCAATCCTAAATTGCCAAAACTGCAACTTCAAATTTCCCACAATTTTTCTTTTAAGCAGATCACCCCACCCCCTTCCTCCTTCTATCCCTCCTCCCATAGGCTTCAGCCAGTATGAGCTCTGGGACAGGGGCCGGAGGGATGGAGCTACTTCTGGTTCTAAAGATTTAATTGTTTGCACTGTAAATTTTGTTCTTATGGTTATGCTCTGTAGATTCACTCCTGAAGAAGATACTTTGTTTTGATATTGCAAAAACTAGTTTTAAAATGTTTATATACTTAAGGTGATAAAACATTTAAAGTTTATCAGGTTTTCAAAGCAATAACCCTTGGGCAGTCTAACAAAAAATTTAAAACAGTTTCTTAAACCTTTGGGGAGGTCAAAAGACCTTGGTATTTATTTTATTACTTTTGCAAAGTAAAACCAAGCCATGCTGTTTGAGCCAATTAAGAAAACTGCAGTTATTACAGTGTATCGTGTCAGGATGGTAAAGATCTATAAAATAATTTAGTATATTCTATATTACTGAAAGAACCCATATGAAGGACTTTAATGAAAGTTTTTATGTTGTCTAAAAAGCAAGAGAAAAGACAAAAAGACTGGAATAATAATAAAGAAAAGAAATGTCAAAAAAATAGTTTGTCTAAAGTAAAAATGTCTGGTTAAGCCAGAAGAACAAAGCTATAAACCTGAAGGTAAATAAAATGTTGTGGAGGGTCCGTGTATGTATATGGGGCCAGGGGGCATATGAACATATGAATGATATTTGTTTTGGTTCTTTATACCTGAAAATATGATTTTAAAAAAAACTGTAAAAAGGCTGGTGATTCTTCATTGCAGAATGTTT